GTGAGTACATATAGGTGAGTACACACACACACACACACACACACACTGGTGCAATTCTCCAATGAGGAGGCTGTGGAGTACATAATGAGGAACAAGCATTTACTCAGAGGAAGTGAAACCCATTACAATGTGTTTATAGAGAGGTTTATGACGAAAGATGAGCAAATAGCCCACAAGAATAGATGGCAACAACGACACCGAACTAACCTCTCAGGTAGTCTCACCTCCCAGGTCACATCCCAGGTCACCTCCCAGGCCACCTCCCAGGTCACCTCCCAGGTCGCATCCTCCCCAACTCAGCCCTCCTATACCTCCCCCCTGCCTCAGCCTCCCAAAACCACCCCTGTCCCTTCCACATTTGCACCTCCCCAACGATTCCCCTGCCCCTGCTACATCACACCTGTCAACGACCCCAGTGGGTCAAGCCATGCCCTCCCCAAACCCACCTTCCCATCCCCCCTCCCCAACTACCCCTTCCTACTCCCCTGCCCCTTCTACCCCATTGACTTCAATTCCATCTACTCCATCCCAGCTTCCACTGTACCCCTCTTCCACTCACCCCCAAACCCCACCCAACCCTCACCCCTCCTATGCACCTCCACCCCACATTTAACCCCCTCACCTTGTGACCCCCTAACACCTTCCTCCATCTCCCTCTTCCCCTCTTCTACCCCAAAACCCCCACCTACCCCCGATTCCCCCCTAACTAATACACCCTCTCTTCCACTCCCAGCACCCATGCTCCATTCTCATCTCAGCCCTCTGCCCTCAGTATCCCTCTCCCCCCAACCTCTCAACCTCTATCTGACTCTCAGTCTTACTCTATTTCTCAACCCCCCTATGCTATTCAGACCCCTAACTTTCAGACCCATTATGCCCTTCCTACCTCCCTAGATGCCCAGACCCCATTTGCCTACCAGGCACTCCCAGGCACCCCCCTAGCACCCCCCCACTCACCCCTACAGCCCCCACTTGCCCCCCAGACCCCTGGTGAAAGGGGAAACTCTGACACCCGAGTTTCCAAGAAGAGTCTCAAGGTTTGGTACACCAATGCTGATGGGGTAGCAAATAAAGCAGAAGAGATAAAAGAAAGAGTTAGTGAGGCAGACCCAGACATAGTGGCAATAGTGGAAACTAAAATAAATGGCATGATCTCGGATGCAATCTTTCCAGAGGGGTACCAGGTGATAAGAAAAGAAAGGACACAGAGACAGGGAGGAGGAGTGGCACTACTAATAAAGCGGAAATGGAAGTTTGATGAGCTGGAAAATCCGGGTACCAATGAAAGCACGAGCTTCATACATGGAACTCTGACAGTGGATGGGAAGAAGATTGTAATCTTGATACTCTACAATCCCCCACCAAACAGTAGAAGGCCCAGGCAGGAATACGAGGACAGCAACAAGACATGTATAGATGAACTGCAGAGGGCAGCAACTTTAGCGCATAGAATGAGAGCGAAGCTGCTGGTCATGGGGGACCTAAATCACGGAGAGATAGATTGAGAAACGAGGAATCCCCATGGCGGGGAGGAGACCTGGGGAGCGAAGCTGGTAGACGTTATTGACAGGAATTTCCTAACACAGCATGTGAAAGAAGATACTAGGGAAAGAGGAGGGGATACGCCCAGCCTATTAGATCTCATTTTCACCCAGAATGCAGAAGACATCGAGCAGTTGGAACATGAAATACCACTAGGAGCTAGTGACCATTGTGTCCTAGTCTTTGACTACATGATGGAGCTTAAAATTGTGACCAAAGGACATGAGGTCCGGGAAAGGAGACTTGATTACGAAAAGGGGACTACAGAAGGATAAGGGACTACCTGGGAGAAGTGCAGTGGGAGGAAGAACTTAGAGGAAAAACAGTGCAAGGTATGATGAACCAAGTCATATTGAAATGCAAGGAGGCTGAAGAGAGATTTATTCCAACAATAAAGGAAAAAAGCAGGAGGGAATATAATAACCCATGGTTTAATAGACAGTGTCAGGAAGCAAAGGTGAGAAGCAGGAGGGAGTGGAGGAAGTACAGAAGACAAAGGACAGAGGACAACAGGATTAGATGTAACAGAGCTAGGAATGATTACATTAACATAAGACAAGTGTCGGAAAGAAATTATGAGAATGATATTGCAGTCAAAGCGAAAAAGCAACCAAAATTACTACATAGCCATATAAGAAGGAAGATGTCGGTAAATGACCAAGTGACAAGACTGAGGAAAACAGAAGGGGCATATACAGAAAGCGACAAGGAAATCTGCGAGGTACTGAATGCAAAATTCCATGGAGTGTTCACAACCGAGCCTGAGCAGCTCCCATTGTTAGAAGAGATTACCCAGAATGAAAGACTATCAGATATAGAGGTGACAGCAGAGGATGTAATGAAACAGTTGACAACACTGGATGCAAATAAAGCTGTTGGACCAGACAAAGTATCACCGTGGATACTTAAAGAGGCAGCGCAGGCTCTCAGCGTGCCTCTGGCAATGATCTTTAATGAGTCACTTATGTCGGGAGAATTGCCCAGTTGCTGGAAGGAGGCAAATGTCGTACCGATTTTCAAAAAAGGAGATAGGGAGGAGGCACTTAACTACAGACCCGTATCACTGACAAGCATCCCCTGCAAAATACTTGAAAGAATAATTAGGCTAAGACTTGTTGAGCACCTGGAGAGCATTGGGTTTGTAAACAAGCACCAGCATGGGTTCTGGACAGGGAAACCATGCCTAACAAACCTTTTAGAATTCTATGATAAAGTAACAAGGATAAGGCAGGACAGAGAAGGCAGGGCAGACTGCATATTTCTTGACTGCCAAATGGCCTTTGATACGGTACCGCACATGAGACTGCTATACAAACTTGAGAGGCAGGCAGGAGTAAGCGGAAAGGCCCTAGTATGGGTGAAGAACTACCTAACAGGAAGGAGCCAGAGGGTAATGGTAAGGGGCGAGAAGTCGGACTGGCGAACAGTAACAAGTGGAGTACCTCAAGGATCGTTGCTGGTACCAATCCTCTTTCTAATTTACGTAAATGATATGTTTACAGGAGTGGAATCATACATGTCAATGTTTGTGGATGAAGCAAAATTAATGAGAAGAGTTGTGACAGACGAGGATTGTATAATCCTCCAAGAGGACTTAAACAGGCTGCAGAGATGGTCAGGGAAATGGCTACTGGAGTTTAACACCAGTAAATGTAAAGTTATGGAAATGGGATCAGGTGACAGGAGACCAAAGGGACAGTACACAATGAAGGGGAACAGCCTACCTGTAACGATTCGAGAAAGAGACCTGGGAGTGGATGTGACACCTAATCTAACTCCTGAGGCACATATAAATAGGATAACGACAGCAGCGTACTCTACACTGGCGAAAATTAGAACTTCATTCAGAAACCTAAATGAGGAGGCTTTTAGGGCGCTTTACACTGCCTACGTGAGACCCGTCTTAGAGTATGCCGCGCCATCATGGAGCCCCCACCTGAAGAAACACATAAAGAAACTGGAGAAGGTTCAGAGGTTTGCGACGAGGCTTGTCCCAGAGTTACGAGGGATGGGATATGAAGAGCGGCTGAAGGAACTGAACCTTACGACCCTAGAGAAAAGAAGTAAGAGAGGAGATATGATAGGGACATATAAAATTCTCAGGGGAATAGACAAAGTGGAAATAGATGAAATGTTCACACGTAATGATAACAGAACGAGGGGACATGGGTGGAAACTGGAAACTCAGATGAGTCACAGAGATGTTAGGAAGTTTTCTTTTAGCGTGAGAATAGTGGAAAAATGGAATGCACTTGGGGAACAGGTTGTGGAAGCAAATACTATTCATACTTTTAAAACTAGGTATGATAGGGAAATGGGACACGAGTCATTGCTGTAAACAACCGATAGCTGGAAAGGCGGGATCCAAGAGTCAATGCTCGATCCTGCAAGCACATATAGGTGAGTACATATAGGTGAGTACACACACACACGCACACACACACACACACACACACACACACACACACGCACACACACACACGCACACACACACACACCACACACACACACACACACACACACACACACACACACACACATACACACACACACACACACGCACACACACACACACACACACACACACACACACACACACACACCACACACACACACACACACACACACACACACACACACGCACACACACACACACACACACACACACACACACACACACACAAGGATATACATACGGGGGCCTCGTAGCCTGGTGGATAGCGCGCAGGACTCGTAATTCTGTGGCGCGGGTTCGATTCCCGCACGAGGTAGAAACAAATGGGCAAAGTTTCTTTCACCCTAAGTGCCCCTGTTACCTAGCAGTAAATAGGTACCTGGGAGTTAGTCAGCTGTCACGGGCTGCTTCCTGGGGTGTGTGTGTGTGGTGTGGGGGGAAAAAAAAAAAGTAGTTAGTAAACAGTTGATTGACAGTTGAGAGGCGGGCCGAAAGAGCAAAGCTCAACCCCCGCAAAACACAACTAGTAAACACAACTAGTAAACACACACACACACACACACATGCACACACACACGCACACACACACACGCACACACACACACACACACACACACACACACACACACACACACACACACACACACACACACACAATATCCAACACACATGATGCATGCATAATTCAAGAAGGGAGAGAAGGAGGGAGGGAGAGAAGGAGAGCTGGAAAGAGGGACGAAGGGTGTGAAAATAGAGAGAGATGATGAGAGGGAGGGAGGAGGAAGAGGTGTCAAAAGGTAGGGAGAAGCAGATGGGTGATGAGAGGCGGACAGAGGGAGAATGAGACGTATGCAGAGAGAGAGAGAGAGAGGGAGAGACTGAAGGAGAGTAGGAGGGAGGAAGAAGGTGAGGGGTGAGGCAAGGAAGGAGAGCTGGGGGAAGGGATAGGGAGGATAGCCCAAGAGAGACCCAGACAGCCTCCACCACACAAGATGTAACGTACCTGCGGATATGTTTCCTGTGGCGGATTACGTCCCACGAGGCGCAGACCAGCAGGGCGGTGAGGGCGTGCTCTTTACACAGGGTGCCCGCGCCCGCCAGCGCTCCTGCACGCCGCAGCCACCCCCACCCTCCCACTCCTGCTTCACTACCTCCCCCTCCAACACCTCCTCCTCCTCCTCCTCCTGTTCCTGTTCCATCCCCCTGTACAGCCTCCACCACGCTGCCTGCTGCACCTTTTCTGTTGCTCTCCCAGCTAGATGGCATCACGTTGGCGCCTGCGCCGTCAACATAGAGGGCTAATCCTCTTCTTCCTTCCCATACTCCTGTTCCTCCTCCTCCAGCTGATCCTCCAGCTGCTGCTGCTGCTCCTCCATCGCTCTCTTCTGCGTTGGATGGCTCTTCACAGTCGCCCTCTATCGCCCTAGTGGAAAGAAACAGGATTACTCTGAATATGAATGTTATTCTCCCTCTATCTGTATTTTCCTAAACAATTTTTTGATGTGTTTCCCCACCAACCACTTGGGCTGGACGGTAGAGCGACGGTCTCGCTTCATGCAGGTCGGTGTTCAATCTCCGACCGTCCATAAGTGGCTGGGCACCATTCCTTTCCCCCCATCCCATCCCTAAACCTAATCCTGACCCCTTCCCAGTGCTATATAGTTGTTATGGCTTGGCGCTTGCTTCCGATAATTCCCTCCCTACCCACCATTCCTTGTGTCGACGACTCACACTTATAACTGTCGTCTTGCGGCAGATTGGTCCCGGGTTTGATACCTGGACAGGACGAGCTGTTTGGAAACATTTCCTTAAACCTGAGGCTGAGTGTTTCCCTAGCAGTGTTCACCTAGCAGTGTTCCCTGGCTATGTTCACCTAGCAGTGTTCCCCTAGCAGTGTTCACCTAGCAGTGTTCCCCTAGCTGTGTTCACCTAGCAGTGTTCCCCTAGCAGTGTTCCCCGAGCAGTGTTCCCCTAGCAGTGTTCCCCTAGCAGTGTTCCCCTAGCAGTGTTCACCTAGCTGTGTTCACCTAGCAGTGTTCACCTAGCAGTGTTCCCCTAGCAGTGTTCCCCGAGCAGTGTTCACCTATCAGTGTTCCCCTAGCAGTGTTCCCCTAGCAGTGTTCCCCTAGCAGTGTTCACCTAGCTGTGTTCACCTAGCAGTGTTCCCCTAGCTGTGTTCCCCGAGCAGTGTTCACCTATCAGTGTTCCCCTAGCAGTGTTCCCCTAGCAGTGTTCCCCTAGCAGTGTTCACCTAGCTGTGTTCACCTAGCAGTGTTCACCTAGCAGTGTTCACCTAGCAGTGGCTTGTATCCCGGGAGAAGATTAGATGTTCACCTACCTAGGAGAACCTTCAAAAGCCTAACAGTCTTCATGTCCCCGACCTGGGAAAACCATAAGTCTGGTCATATTCCACCGCTAGACAATAGTACAAATAGTGACTATCTTCGGCGGTAATAAGTCACTATTGGACTTGCATATCTACCAATCGATTGACATGCTTTCTTACGGGTTAATAACAATCGGTAATTTCTCGAATTTTTTATAGATTTATGATATTTTTAGGCCTATGTTAGGGTCGGGATGGTGTCTTAGTTACGTCGTTGATTTAGGGTCGTTTCCTGTAGACATGAGAGTTAATGAAACACGCTGTGAGTCGTAGTTTCGTACAGAGTAAAGCTGATACATGAGCTGCTGGAGTAGTCCATGTTTCGTACATGAACATTGGCACTTAGACAACCCTGTGTTCTGATATTTCGAACAAGCACATTGGCACTCAGACGACCCTATGTTCTGATATTTCGAACAAGCACATTGGCACTCAGACGACCCTATGTTCTGATATTTCGAACAAGCACATTGGCACTCAGACGACCCTATGTTCTGATATTTCGAACAGGCAAATTGGCACTCAGACGACCCTATGTTCTGATATTTCGAACAAGCACATTGACACTCAGATGCGCCCATGTGTTCTGATATTTCGAACAAGCACATTGGCACTCAGACGACCCTATGTTCTGATATTTCGAACAAGCACATTGACACTCAGATGCGCCCATGTGTTCTGATATTTCGAACAAGCACATTGGCACTCAGA